TAACAATACTTTTTTCCCATTCACTTTTGTACAAAACTCATTAGAATGATGTAAAAAAGCAATAAAAATCTCTTGATCAATATATCCGCTTTTAGTGCAATGTATTTTTGTACCCAAAGGAAATTTAGATGCATCTGGAGTCTTTGTTAAATATGAAAAATGGTGATAAGCTATCTCCTGCTGCATTGACAGTGGCCAGGTATGTTGTTAGTGTGCCACGTTCACCAATAGTTAACTTTTGTACCTCATGAGAACCCTTTAATGCTACTACCTTAGCAGAGACATTTAGCACAGATGAAAGGCCAGTTTCATCACAGTTATAAATAAAATTTAGATAATTTTTTATGTCAAACTGTTCATAAAAAGGTTGTAAATCGTTAAAAAATGTCTGAACGCTGTTCTCATTAAATGCTTCTGCTCTTGCTCAAGAAAGCTCATGAATTCTCATTGTCAACTGAGTATGCCTTTTTCGGAATGAAAGAAACCAATCACGTGATGCCAAACATTTATTATGCTAACTTTTTGGAATGGACTTCTGTAATAAATGGTGTCTACACAAGCTTTTGGCATAAAAATAAGCAGCAGATCTTAATCACATTATTGTAAGAGGAAACCCTCTATATAAAGCACCCTTTGAACAAGAGTTTCTTCTTGGTTTTTAAAAAAAAATTGTTTTACCACCTATAGAATGTGTTGGATGTTTTCCCCGTAATTTATCAATCAATGTTGTACGTGGAATATTAAATTGTTTTGCTGCAGTTGATATAGTTTCCCCATCTATAGTGGTTTGCAGAGCAGCCGGAATAATTTCTGCATTATAATTTTTTGGTCGCTTTGGTTTATAATTATGTACCATCTATATGTTTTAACATGAAAAATAATGCTATTAAAATTTACCATAATTTCAAACCATGTTTTTTATTGTAAAATTTTATTTTTTTGAAAAACATTATAAATTAATCAAAAAGTATAATTTAACATAAATACTTATGTACATCTACAATACATACATATGCATATCTTTTATTTTATTATTATATATAATAAGCATATTATTCTTATGTTATTTTTATATTAGTGTGTGTGTGTGTATATATATATATATATATATATATATATATATATATATATATATATATATATATATATCAGGCCTTGTTACGAGATTTCGCTGCGTAAAAAAAAGCGAAACGTGAATAAATGTAACTTTACTCAATATAGATATTTACATTGTTAAAAGTTAAATTACGCCAGTTGCGTTTTTACTTCATTGAATTAAAAATGACATTAAAAACTATTGTTAGTCTTTAAAACGAAATAGCTTTAAATTGAACAATATTGTTATAAAAATAAAAATAAAGTTTTAATGTTGATTAAAAAAAAGTCTTCTTGTAAAAAAATCTTATACTTATTTAAACTTGATTTTTAATATTTTTAAAAATTTAATAATTTAAATTTAACACTTGTTTATGGTTGATTTTCTTAAAGGAATTTAAATGTACTTACAACTAAACGCATAGATTGGGTTTTCCCCTTTTTAAAAAAAACGTTTGCACTAACTGGTTTTGATAAAATAAATATTGTAAAAAAATGAAATTTACTGCTTTTTGGCTTAATTTTTTTTTTATTTACATTAAAATATTTTATTTTTATGTGCAGTGAAACCTAATGTATTTTTACTATTTTATTACTCAATCCAAAAAAAAAAAAAAATAATAGTGTTTTTGGTTTTAAGATGTTATAAGCAGAATTTGTTTTTAACAAATATCATTATAATTTTAAAATTTATGTATCTTATATTTATAGCTCTGGTACTAGTTTTGTTTTAAAAATAAAATAAATATAAGTTGGGCTTTTAAAGAGTTTATTTACTGATCGCGTTATTTTTAATAGGTTTGAATTTTGGTTTGTTTTATAAAAAAATTCTTTGGCAAATGACTAAGGGAAAACCCAAACATAACATTTAAAACTCTAGTTTAAAAGAACTTTTTTGTATTGATATTATTTATTAACTTGTAGTTTTAAAATGAATAATGCGCTTCTTTAAATAATGAATGAAACTGTAAAATAATGGAAAAATAAAAACTGGAAAATAATGCGCTTTTGTTCAGCGCATTATTCAGACCAGTATTTGGAACTTACCTGAAACTTAACTGAAATTAAAATAAAGTTATATGTAATACGAACATTTTAAAGTAACTTGAATTAAATTTATTAAATCTTTTATTACTTTGGAAATTTTATCATTAAAAAAATGGAGCATTTTAAAATTAAAAATTTTTAAAATGCTCTGTTTTAAAATTAAATAAAAGAATTTCAATTAAATTTAATAAATTTATTTACTAAAAACTATGATTAATAAAAAAATATTTAAATTTAATAAAATAAATTAAAAATATATATATTTTTTTAAATTTGAATGTTTTTAAACTTATGAAATATAAAACTTAATATTAAATATGATAAAAAGTTTAAACTTAAAACACTTTTTTTTAAACTAATTTTTAAGAACAACAACAATAAAAATAATTAAACAAATTTTTCTTTAACAAAAAATCTATTAGTTGACAATTGTGGTTAAATGCTTTTACTTACGACTTTATTTTCTTCTGAATAAACGTCACATAAACGATATCAAATGATAATTTAAATATTCTAAAAGATTAAAGTTTTGGGTAACGTAAAACTGCTGAACGCGTAGGCAAATCGCCTTTTTGCAGGTAAAATGCAAGCATCGTAACGATTCTTAACAAGGCCTGATATATATATATATATATATTTATATAAATGCTTCATATTTTACAATAAATGATACATTTGTTTAAAATAAATACTAAAAAAAATACTTATAACAAATATTTTATACTGTACACACATTTTATACTATATACTTACTATTTACTTTTTACAATATCTAATATTTATAGTAAAAAGTATAATATATATTTTTTTTAAATAGAATAAGATCTTTGCTATATAATATATAGTAAAAATGTTATTTTACTGAAAAAATAGTAAATATTAAGTATTCTCATAATATTTATTAAAATTTCAATAAAATTTCAACAATATTTAATATTTATACATATCTTAAATATGTATAAAAATATATAACATATGTTTTATATACTTATTATTTACTATATATACATTTCAGACTATACATTATAATAAGTTTGTTTACATGTTTCACATCAAAGTCGTGTTTATAATTAAAGCTTCAAAAAGTTTTAAAAGCGAACTGTAAATTAATAATTCTGAAGAGCCTGTCTCTTATAAGTAAATTCTAAAGCTTTGAAGTGCATTATGAGCACAATTTGTTTTTTCTTTCAAACGGCACTAGGTAGTTTAAAAATTTCCGTGATGAAACAACCTAATTTATTTTGAGTATTAACTTTTCTTTAACGATGAAGTTGCCCCTCATTTGAGCATGTGCTAACAATCATTACATGACGATTCCAAAGACAAAAACATAGTAACTTAAATTATTATTTTAAAACTACTGACATCAATCAACCAAAAAATATATACTTTGTGGTCAAATCATATTTTGACAATTTTTTGATGATAGGCATTTAAGCAGAAAAATATTTTTTCAACATCAATGTTTACCTGCAATATTTAAAGAATAAAAGAAGGTAAATATATAAAACATTTATTTAATAATATTCTACAAATATCAGTTAAAAAAGTTTCGAAAAAACCTAGTAAATAAACTTCTTAGTTTTTATGTATTATTATTTTAAAGCTGAGTCGCATAAGTGACAGATTCGCTCTGTGACGAATTCACCCCGCCTAACCCTATATAATAGAGAATGTTTTAATTTAAATTAATCTTATAAGTATTTTTAATGTTGAATATAAAATTTTTTGTAGTTTCTTTTTTAAAGTTTAAATTTTTATTTTATCTCAAAATTTTTTTGTTTGTTTTTCAAATAAATTTTTATTTTTTTATCTTTGGAATTTTCGTTTTGAATGGATATATTGGCTATTTTCACGAACTTTTTAGCAAAAACTTAACTGCAAACGTTTAAGCGAAGCAAGGTATTTTAATGACCACAACAGTTATGATGTTTAAAAAACATTTGCTCATCAATTTTTAAAATTAAATATAATGGTATTCAATATATTTTATTTAAATTAGACTGTTTTCTTTTAAATTAATTATAATTTAACAACCAATAGATCCATGGTTTAACAACCAATAGATCCATGGTTTAACAACCATTAGATCCATGGTTTAACAACCAATAGATCCATGGTTTGCAAAAAAGTTCGCATTTTATCTACTAGAACTTTAAATTAATTTATTTTGCGGTTTATTAAAATAAATTAAAGTATAAAGACTAAATTAAGAACAAGTTAAGAAATAGTCGGGTGTGGAATCGACTTACTACCGTTTATTAAAACAAATTGCCATTTATTAAAATAAATTAAAGTATAAAGACTAAATTAAGAACAAGTTTAGAAATAGTCGGGTGTGAAATAGACTTACCACGACCCATATAGTACGGGTCATGATAGCTAGTTAATTAATTATTAATAAATTGCCAAACTATTTTAAATCACTGTTTGTTTAGAAATTGTCGTCAATTCATTTTCATAGAAAAAAGTTTTGAGTTGTTTTACCTTTAGAAAAATCGTAGTTAAAATTTGAGTCAATAAAACTTTGGAAAAAACATAGTTGAAACAACTTCCAGGTTTTTAAAAAATTAATAAAAATACTAGCAATATTTTTCTAAGATGTTGTTAAATGTTATAATAATAAAATATTGTTAAATGTTTCGTTGTTAAATGTCATAATGGTCAGTCTAATTTTTATATTTAAAGTGTCTTTAAAAATGCTATTTTTTAGTTAAATTAATTAATTTTTTTTTTCTATAATAATTTTTTTTGTATAATTCTTTATTCGATTAGTTAACTTTTTTTTAAATAGGGTTTTAGTACAAATGACTTTTTTAAAAAATGTTATAAATAAAAAAAAAAAAAAATGTTTTTACATTTATATCAATTCCTTTTTCCAAGGCAACACGTTTAGCAAGTGGGCTAGCAAATACACGGTTTGTAGAAGATGGTGGTGGAGGTTCTTCAACTACTGGAGGTGAATGGCTGGCAACTGTTGAAGGTGAAGCATCAAGCTTTGCATCAAGAGTTTTTGTGGTCTAAAATAGATTACAAAAAATTATATTTTTGACAAAAAACTAATTTTACCTTATTAATTAAAGTAAAAATAAAAATAATTCATAGGTTTTTTTTAAGTTATAAATATTTTCATAACTTACAGTTATGAAAATATTTGTAAATATTTTATCCCAATTATTGTCCAATCAGTCTTCTTTTTATTATTAGCAAGGTCTTTGAGTCTTTGATTAACAAGTTTCTCACATCCCATCTTGAGTCAAACAACTTACTGTCAGACAATCAATACGGTTTTTGATCCTCTCGCTCTATCGCTGACTTGCTAACTGCTATGACTGAAAGATTTTATTGTGCATTAAGTGGAGGCTGAGAGGATAGGGCTATTGCTCTTAACATATCTAAGGCTTTCAACAAAGTTTGTCATGTTGGTCTTCTCTATAAGCTTTCTTTCTAATTCTCTATAATCATTTCTTTCTAATTGCTTTAGAAAGAAACAATTTGATAATTAAATTAAATAATAATTGATAAGTTAAATTAAATAAAACAATTTGATAAGTTAAACTAAATAAAGAAGACTGTTGGTCGAGGGTCAATAGTCTTCTTTATTTCCAGTAACTCCTGGGGTACCTCAAAGTTCTATCCTTGGTCCTATTTTGTTTATTCATCCCATTGGAACTCTCTCCCATCTTCAGTTGACAGAAGACTTAAAAAGTTGAAGGTTGTATGAGTCAGGGAAAAAGGAGAAACTAAACACAAGCTAGGATCAAAGACCAGACATAAGTTAAGGAGTGAAGGTAAATGATTAGGGTTGTCAGGAAAACAAGTCACAAAGTTAACTATTTAAGTAAGAGATTGAGAAATATATATAAAAGTTATAGGCTTCAGTGACAGCAGGGTCAATGGCATTAGAGCCAAGCCATTCAGTGTGATGAGAATTAAAGTCATCAATAACAACAATATTGGCAGAGGGGTAAAAAGAAAGAGCATGGTCAATTTGATCAGAAATTGTTTCTAAAAGAGTGCAGTCATGGGAAGAAGGAGAACAATAAAGAACTAAGAGAAAGGTGATAGAGTGAAGAGGTGCTAAGTGAAAGCACATAAATGAATGGTCAAAGGATTCGAACCTAATTTCACGATAAATAGGTGAATTGATGGGTATTTATAGCCCTAAGCCAAGATTGTGACTATTGGAGTCTTTGCAAATCAAAGGATAATGGGGATGGTTTTTTATGTTTAATACTTTGATTTATTATTGCCATAATTTAAGTTTAAAGAGAACTTGACACATTCATAGATAGAGCACGGCCTTCCAAGCAATGAGCTATGCAATTTTCTCAGTTCTGTTAACTAACCTTAAGTTGTAACACAGAGCTCTTAATGTAGCCTCAACAATGCTTACCAAAAGCATTTACAGGGACACCATCCATGCACAACATGGCACTGTTAACACTCTGATATTTTGCAGCTGTTGATGGAATTAGCCTCTCCAAGAGATACCACATAGTTCGGGAAACCATACTACCAGCCGGCCTCAGAAGTATTAAAGTTTTCAGAGTTGTACCCTCATTAGATGATAACAAGAAGAGTTGCATAGCCACTATCAACAAGGCACAAGTAAAACCCTATGAATAAAGTCAAGAAGGTCCAGCATTCATCATCCTAGACAGGAAACAATGTAACACAGGTTTACATCTATGCCAGCCTAATAGATGAAGTAGGGGTTCAAGGCTAGTCAACAGAATTATTCTGCTTACTGCTTAAGTCTTTGCCTAGGAGGCCTCCTACAAGACAGTAGCTGGATGCAGTTAACATCTGCCAGAGATGAGTATTTTTATCGAGACACTATCTCTAGCCTTTACTCAACCAAGAGTAACATGGCAGGGGATTTTTAAGTCAGAGTTTATTTCTCCTAGTCTTTGCCTAAAAAAACACACTCTACAAGGCAGCAGGGCATGGAGCAAGTAGTACTGGGTTGTATAATACCAGTAGCAGGGTGATCGTGATGATACTAAACCTGACCTGGAGTAACAAAAATTCTTTTTTTTAGTTGTTTCATTATGATCTTGATATGATATTATTTTAGGTTAATATCTTTTAAGGTATGCTTGCGTTAATGATATTATGTACCTGACTGAAACTGAAAAAAGTAAAAGTTAAGTAATAAGTTTCTAAAAAAATATTTTAAATTTTGTTCAAAACTTATTTTTAACTAATTGATCTTTTTTAACTAATATGAATCTTTTTGTTACTATGAAATGTAATTTCTTGTAAAATTTGAACTATTGCAGAAAAAAAGCTAAATAATTAATGGCAATAATGCAAAAACTTAATAATTTAGAGTACAGCATGAATTTTGGTCAGTGTATAACAATTCTGTATTTTTTTTTTGTGTTAAATAAATAACACACTTTCAAAAAATACCAATTAAAAAAGATGTCATAAAGAAAACAGAAAAACTGTTTTTACTTTTTGCATGAAGAAATGCTTTAGAACACTCTCAGCCTTTCAGACAGATAAAATTATGCATATCTTCTTAACAAATATCAATTTTCTTCAGGCTATAGCACCTTAAAAAAATCTGTGGAACATGCAGAACTGCTGTTTACAAGCAAGTAAGGGAATAGGAGGGAGTAAAGTAAACTTAATACACTATGTTAAATTAACTTAGGTAAATTTAATACACAATATATATATATATATATATATATATATATATATATATATATATATATATATATATATATATATATACACCTTGTACAGAAAGTTTAAACGGACTTGTTTTTTTAACTTATAAAATGCTTTTAAGAAATGATAACCCGATAAATTAATGAGATATGCTCTGTATTTTTATGTTTATTTATACTATGGCTATTAGTTATTAGTTTAGATAGAAAAAAAATTGTATGAATATTAACTCCTTTCAATTTTTTGAAATAAAATTTAAACACACTTTGATAAGAAAACGCGTAAAACTCATTTATTGAGAGATTTTTTATTGAAGTCTTTTACATTTTTATCACTTAACAGCCTGTTAACGCTAGTATATTACATTTGGATTCCTATTCTTATTTTATTTTGAATAAAAACCATGATATGATTTAAAATATAGCAATTTTCAACTGATACAGCTTTGCCAAAATATAATACTATAAGGGGTAAAAAAGCTGTTTCGTCGAAAACATAATGGCAAGTCATTGAAATGCATAAAATGAAAATAAGCAATAGAGAAATTGGCAGACGCCTAAATATTTCTGAATTCAGCGTTTGTACAACAATAAAAAATTATTTATCAACTGGTAGTGTCAATGATAAACCTCGTACTGGGCGTCCGAAAAAAATTACAGCACGCGATGAAAACATGCTTTACATGCTAAGCAGACGTAACCCAAAAGCGGGAGTATCAACTTTAAGTGCAGAAATCAATAGTTCGCTGGTAGACAAAACAGTTAGTCGAATGACTATAAGTAAGTTATTACGCAAGAAAGAATTAAATTTGTTTCATTGTGTAAGAAAGCCTTTGTTGACATTAACCGATCGCCAAAGACGAAAAAAATGGTGCAAAGAGCATTTAAATTATTCAGTAGAACAATGGAAAATGATTATCTTTAGTGATGAATCAAATTTCGAAATTATTAACAGAAAAAATAAGAGATTTGTTTGTCGCAAAAATACAGAAAAATATTTGAAGCAACACCTATTAAGCCGTATTCAAAAAGGCGGTGGTTCCGTTGGCATATGGGGATGTATATCAAGCTCAGGCGTTGGCTGTCATAAAATATACGAAGGAAGATTAAACCAGTATGAGTATCGTGACATTTTGGAAAACGCGCTTATCCCTAGTTGCGATTTGTTCCAGGCTGATCAAAACTAGTTATTTCAACAAGACAATGCTCCATGCCATACAGCGCATTCAATCACTGATTATTTCCTTAAAAGTAATATTCAACTTATGCCTTGGCCAGCACGACCACCAGACTTAAACCCGATTGAAAATTTATGGAGCTGGATGGATTATCAACTAACAAAAAAGCAAATAACTAGTCACGAAATGCTCAAACAAGAACTGACCAAACTGTGGCTTGAAATACCAATCAAGATGATTGAAAACTCAATCGAATCAATGCCAAGGCGAATACAAGCATGTATTAAAAACAACGGGGGTCATATTCCGTATTAATATATTTCGATTAAAAGAAGTTGTAGGTGCGTTTAAACTTTATAGCACTTTCTTCTAAGTAATCTTTTGATAACTTGAAAATTTCAGAAAAGATTTTGTTTTTCTTATTCAAAGTTGTGTTTTTTTCTTAATTAATAATTGGCTAAAAATATTTAAAAAAAAAAACCTGGACCCTGCCTTGTGTTTTCTCTTTGTATCACTTTACATACCTAAACTTTTAAAAAAACAAGTGCGTTTAAACTTTCTATACAAGGTGTATGTATATATATATATATATATATATATATATATATATATATATATATATATATATATATATATATTGGAGGAGTGTGCTTCCTGTCATCAGTACTATCTTATATGTATTAGTTATTGTATTAGTTATATATATTAGTTATTGTATTAGTTCACCTGTAATCTACTTTATATGTATGTTTGTGTTCTGTCTAAACCTCTGGCGCAGTGTTCGCTCACCCGTAAGTTACTTAATGTTTTTTATGTTTTTTTTATGTATGTTTGTGTTCTGTCTGAACCTCTGGCGCGGTGTTGACCCACCCATAAGTTGATTTATGTTTGTTTGTGTTCTGTTTATTCTCTGATGCAGCGTGAGCTCAGTAACTAGCTACTTATTTTAACTACAAAACCTACACTCACCTTAGACTCCTGTATTTTGGTAGATGCAGTGTTTTTCCTAATGCACTTCCAAAATGTCATGCCTGGTTTTCTCAAAGTACTGTTGCGGGAAGAAACTCCTTTTAACTACTCCAGGTCAGGTCAGGATCATCAAGATCAATCTTGCTACTGGTATCACGTAACCCAGTACCACCTGCCACAAGCCCTGTT